TTCCCTGGTTTCGGGCACATAGGAGATGCTCAGTAAATATTTGTAGAGTGAACGATAGAGCCAATGGAAAAAATAAATAAAGATAAGGGGTTTTTCTCCTCGGGGTCAGCTCTGTGTGAAGTTTTGGTGATGAAGGCTGCCACCTGCAGGGGAAAAAGTGAAACTGCAAGATTCAGAACTCAAGCCCTGGGGAAAATACAGTCAACTTCAAGGCAAGATGACCTGAGAATCGATTGTTCTCCTTTAGCTTTAGGCAGAATTAATCAACATCATTTTGTCCTTCCCAATTAAGGAACTCTACTTACCTTTCTGAATAACTTTTTTAAGCCTTTGGCGTGCTTAGTAAGTGCCCAGCACCATGCCGTGCACACACAATGTTTTCAGGACATTTCGATTTTTGCATTGTCTTCATAACTACATGCATTCTTGTCAGATCACGGGTTCCTTTTTGGGTATGGAAAACATTGCTTCAACAATGTGAGGTTGATGCTTTTGACATGCTCTTACCCCATTTTGTATTGCTTTTCTTTTGGTCTCCACATTCTTTCCAACCAATTTGGGTTTAACAAAAGGTACATGCTTTGAAGCAAGCTGTAGCAGAAATGCCTGTGCCCATGACATGGCAGAATGAAGCAGGTTCAGGCCACAAGAAGAATTAACTAACAGGATGCCAGTAAGGGGTGAGTGAAAGAGGAACTACCTGCGGGTCCTGAGGACAATGATGAAAACATGTTTACCGCACAGAAACAGAACTACAAGCGGCGGGTCGGGGGTGGGGGTGGGGGTGGGGAAGAGCAGTGCCCCTTAGTGGTATAAGGAGGTCAGCTCACTTCCATTTGTTGAGGCTCTTTGTCTACAGGAAAATGAAGGATTCGTTTCTTCATTTAATATTTAGCAAATGCTTTTGGCATCCCAAGATTAAAATGCAATGTAAATGTGCCATTATGAGATGACTGCATTTCTGAGAAGTCAACCAATAAAACCACAATGAGATACTTCCACACATTTACTAGAACAGCTAAAAATGAAAACAAAACTGACCATACCAAGTTTTTATAGGCATGGGGAACAACTGGAAATCTTCTAAATTGTTGGTGGAAGTGCAAAATGTACAGTCACTTTGGAAAAAAAGTTGGGCAGTTTCTTGTCAAATTAAACATAGACCCACTGTACAACTCAGAAATCTCAATCCTAGGTATGTACCCAAGAGAAATGAAAATGTATGTTCACACAGTCTGTATAAGTGAATGTTTATAGTGGCTTTATTTGTAATTGCCACTACTGGAAATATTCAAATTCCTCCAAAAGGTAAATGAATGGAGCAATTGTGGTACACCCATCATGGAATACTTGTCAGCAATAAAAAGGAGTAAATTGAAATAAACCTTGCATATATGGCTAAATGATTTTTTAAAATATATTTTTATTGATTTCAGAGAGGAAGGGTGAAGGAGAGAGAGAAAGAAAGAAAGATCCTATATAATAAATGCCTAATATGCAAATTGTCCCCTTGGGCGGTTGTTTGGCCAGGAGTTTGACCAGGACACCAGGAGTTCGACCGCTCCCTATGGCATGTGCTGACCACCATGGGGAGGTGCAGAACATGGTGGGTGTCAGCTACTTGGCGCTGGCAGTGGGCGGCAGTGGAGGCACTGACAGCCCAATGGGCCCCAATGAGAGTGGGACCACGGCAGGATGGTGGAGCAGGTGAGCAGGCAGTGGCGCCAGGCCAAGGCTGGTGCAAGTGGGGGGTCTGACCGCCCCACCAATCACCCCGCTGATGGCGACCAGTGGCAGCAGCTGGGGACGGGGCCGCCACCCAGCTCCCAGGCGCTGAGGGAGCCTGGCAGGGGCGACTGATCACCCCGCAGGCCAGATGGTGGAGTAGGTGAGGGGGTGGCACCAGGCCAAGGCAGGGTGTCAAGTGCGATGCGGATGCGGAGCTGTGAGGCTGGGGGTGCGAGCTGGGGCTGTGAGGCTGGGGGCAGGAGCTGGAGCCAGATCTCCACAGGTCACGCCGAAGGGACCCCACCCATGCACGAATTCGTGCACCAGGCCTCTAGTCAATGATAAGAGAGACTCATGGATCAGCTGCCTCCTGCACACTCCCTACTGGGGATCAAGCCTGTAGCCTGCAACCCAGGCATGTGCATGTGCCCTGACCAGGAATTGAACTGTGACCTTCTGGTTCATAGGTAGACGGTCAACCACTGAACCATGCAAATGATTTCTCACAAGGGTGCCAAGACCACACAATAGGGAAGGACAGTCTCTTCAACACATGGTGCTGGGAAAACTGGCTATCCACATGCAAAAGAATGAAATTACACCCTTACCTTGAGCCATATACAAAAATTAACTCAAATAAATTAAAGACCTAAAAACTATTAAATTCCTAGAGGAAAATATGGGGAAAAGCTTCAGGACAATGGATTTGGCAATGATATAATGAATATGACACCAAAAGAAAAAATAGACAGATGGGACTACAGCAGACTTTTAAAACTCCTGTATGTCAAAAGAAATAATCAACTGAGTGAAAAGGTAACCTATGGAATGGGAAAAAATAATAGCAAATCATATACCTGCTATGAGGTTAATATTCAGAATATACAAGGAACTCCTACAACTCAACAACAAAAACACAATTTAAAAATGGGCAAAGGGCTTTAATAGACAATTTATTAAAGAAGATATACAAGTGGCCAATAAGCAGAGGAAAAGATGCTCCACATCACTAATCACCAGGGAGATACGAATCAAAACCACAATGGGATATTATCTCACACCCATCAGGATGCTACTATCAATAGAACAGAAAATAACACGTTGGAGAGGGTGTGGAGAAGTTGGAACTTTTATGTACTGCTGGTGGGAATGTAAAAACGTGCAGCCATTATGGAAAACAGTATGGATGTTCCTAAAAAATTTAAAAATAGAATTACATATGATCCAGCAATCCCACTTCTGGTAGATATGCAAAAGAATTCAAAGCATGATCAGGGTTGAAATAAGCCTGGCAGATATGGGTCACCTGAGAAATGAAGTTTCATTGTTCCCAAGGTTCAAAATGGATTTGAGCTGATGAAACTCTCATTTTGATTTTCTAAGTTGTCAT